ATCTGAAAACAAGATCAAAAAGACTTTTTGGCTGATATAAGGTTTTAAACTTGGTTAGATGGACAGTTTTTACAGTGTTGTCAGGCTTTCTAGAGTCATGAGGTTTTATTCACAGTTTTAATAACTCATTTTGTGCAGGACTTTTCTGATGTGATTGCCTCAGTTTGAATTGACTTTATGATGATGTCACATTTTTTTCAGTCACTTCTGACAAAATTACACAGAAATTCTTCCAGTTCCCAAATCTGGATAATGTTCTGTATTTCATGACTTTATTAACCGTTTTGATGAGCGTAGTGTTTGAGCTGTTTGTGTAGAGGAGACCGGCCCACCTAAACAGGACAGGGGGCTGCTGCAGCTACGACACAACAGATACTACTGCCTACTGCTTCAGAACCAGTTACTGGGTCAGAACTATGTTTTAGTCTAACAGAACCAACAAGAATGAAACAAAAAGTAAAGAATCAGGGTAAAAAATAAATTGTAATTATAATAAATTAATAATAGTTTTACATCTAAAAATCATATTTTATTATTTTAATCTATTTTCCTCATTCAGCAACCTAAAGGTTTAAATTTCTGATATGTTTCATGAAGGAGAAATACACTTTTTTTCAGTCAGTATTTATTACAGCTGGTAAAATAAACTGTTAAAATATGTATCATGTGCTTCTGTTTTTAATTCAGGAGATTATAAAAAATCCTTCATTTTATGTGAAGACCCTCTGGATTCAAGAGAAAACTGTTATTTTAAATGGCTGCTTATTAATTAATTAATTGTTAATCAATCTATTAGATAAATAGATTAATTCATTATCAATAACTTGCATCCTTAAGGAGTTAGCTTAATTTACATCTCCTCATATCCATGTAATTAAGTGTTTTTAATGATTTGGCTGATTAATTGATTATTAAAATAATGGTTAGTTGCAGCTCTGTATATTTCTCATCTAAGTTCAAAGTGTGACAATAATCATTTGATAACTAAGTTGTGAACGGTGAAACARTAAGAAATATTTTCTCCTTGTCTGTCTCCATGCTGCAGAAGGAGAAGGTGTACATTGGAAAGCTGAACATGATCCTTGTTCAGGTACGTTTCATCAGCAGGTTGAGCCCACCCTCTGCTTTAATCCCACACCTGGATCCTGTTGTTCTGGTCCGTTCATCAAGAACTGTCTCACAGGACACATGGACGTCTGACTGCAGTGATTTTAATAGATCTGATCCTCACAAACACCAGTTAAAGGAGGTGGAAGCCCACCCAAACATTGTGTATTTACACACTTTACACAATTAATTAATACACAATTACACACTGAGGTTCAGCCTCACTGGACTTTGAATTTTAAACAGACACATTTGTAACCTAAGCTGAAAATAGACAATAAACACACAAACATAATATAGATAATAAAGATGAATTTAGTTTATTATAGGATTCTTTACATCAGGGTCTGTGTGGAGCTGCAGGTCAGGGGTCAGACTCAGTTTTACATCATTTAGTTTTTCATCACTAACAGAAACACATTTGTGCTCCTGAAGATCCTGAAACAGGAGTGGCCCAAGCACTGGCCCACGTTCATCAGTGACATCGTGGGAGCGAGTCGCACCAGTGAGAGCCTTTGTCAGAACAACATGATCATTTTAAAACTGCTGAGTGAGGAGGTCTTTGATTTCTCCAGTGGCCAGATGACCCAGGTCAAAGCCAAGCACCTGAAGGACAGGTGAGACATCTTCAAATCATTTTCAAACCGTCATCCATYTGAAAACTGACGTCAACATTTACAGCATGAAGTTAATTCTGCAACTTTTAGGCTTTTGTTCCAAAAAGGCTGGTCAGAAAAATGTCTTCTACTTTTAACCAATGCAACAATGCTCCATGAATAAAAGCTCAGAAATTTGTCTTTTATTGATCTGTAATTCTGTGTGTGACCATAAAAACTCAGATATTCAGGAGTTTATGATTACTTATAATTACTTACCAACGTTTAAAGAAAAGGTTGATTTAAATGTTTACAGATGTGTTGAAGGTTAAAACACTGCTTCAAACCCATCTCTTCTCTTCGCCTTGGCTCCATCTGAGATGTTCAGTTTTAGTTTGTTTTGAGATAATTTAAAGTTGTTTTATGAGATTGTTTCATTATATAGTTGTAAATTTTGGATTTGTCTTTAATGTACTGTGACTGTTGTGTCAGTATTGACTGACTGTGCAGCACTTTGGTGCTCCGGTTGTTTAAGTGCTTTATAAATAAAGTGTGTATGGTTAATGCTCTGTAATTTGTTTTGCAGCATGTGCAACGAGTTTTCACAGATATTTCAGCTGTGTCAGTTTGTTATGGTATGTCAACTCCCATCCTTTTTGCAGCAGTCATAGACATTTTTTTAAAATAATTTCTGTGCTCCCATGTGTGTTTTTCACAAGCTTGTGATCTTCTCTCAGGAAAATTCCCAGAATGCCCCTTTGGTTCACGCCACCTTGGAGACCCTTCTGCGTTTTCTGAACTGGATCCCACTGGGGTACATTTTTGAAACGAAGCTCATCAGCACCTTGGTGTATAAGGTGTGGACACAGGTTTCTGTTTGTAATGAAATGTGTTCGCTGAGCTGGAACAAAGTCAAATCAAACAYCTGTCTGGATTTTCCTAGTTCTTGAATGTGCCGATGTTTCGAAACGTGACGCTGAAGTGCCTGACTGAGATCGCTGGAGTGAGTGTGAGCCAGTACGAGGAGCAGTTTGTGACCCTCTTCACTCTGACCATGTGTCAGCTCAAACAGGTTGGTTCTTCACACCACACCGTTCTGTCGCAGGGCCTCAGGGAAAACCTGAACTGAGTCTTTTCTGTTCAGATGTTACCACTGAACACCAACATTCGTCTGGCCTACGCCAACGGGAAAGATGACGAACAGAACTTCATCCAGAACTTGAGTCTGTTCCTCTGTACGTTCCTCAAAGAGCACGGGCAGCTCATTGAGAAGCGCCTCAACCTCAGAGAGACATCCATGGAGGTAAGACAAACAGTTTTAGGCTCACACACATCATGACATGACATCAGAACAATGTCAGGAGCTGCTCTGTTTCCTCTGCTGCTCTTTCAGGCTCTCCACTATATGCTTCTGGTGTCAGAGGTGGAAGAAACTGAGATCTTCAAAATTTGTCTGGAATATTGGAACTACTTGGCTGCTGAACTTTACAGAGAGAGTCCATTTTCCACCTCAACATCCCCTCTGCTGTCTGGGAACCAGCATTTTGATGTTCCACCACGCAGACAGCTGTACCTGCCAGTCCTTTCCAAGGTACCCCTAGATAGGTCTTCAGTGGGTTCCATAAAACAAAAACCCAAGGTTGTGATTTGGATTGTTGTGATCATTGTGAAATAATTGACCACGTGAAGAAAGATGGCTGACGTACAGATAAGATGGGTCTGGGGGTCCTGTTTCAGTTCTTGGAAGCTGCAGGGTGTCTGCTCACAGTAAAATTAGAATCAGATGACACCCTTCATAAACAGGTGCTTGTTAACATCTGCCAAATGAGCTGCTAGTTGCACTGTTCCTGCAAACCAGCAGCAGTTCCCTGTTTCACATATTTCATCCCTCCATGCATGAGGAGGATGAGTTACTGTCATTAAGGTTTTATCTAAATACCTTCCACAGGTGTGGCAGTTTAAAAATGACCAGACTGTCCAGTGTTGCCCAGCACTAAAGCATTTTTCATTATTCTTTCCTGTTTAAGTGGGAAAATAACCTATTGTGCAACATATAAACTGTTGCAACACTTTAAAATAAGAAAATAGATATTTTTAAAGAACTTGTATAAATTTCCTAAACATGGAACTGACAAACATTTCTTTTATGACTGTAAATTTTAACACAGTCATTGAGTATTTACTCTGGTATCTGTATCGTGCAGGGCTAGTAGTATTTCAGCACCAAACTCAGGTGGGTTTTATATATTAATATAATTTAATATATTGTTCAGGCTCAGGATATTTTTCCACCGTCACCCCTGAGTGTCGTGGCATTTTCTGAGATTACTTGTAAAAACGCTGGTATTGTGTCACCTCTAGATTGTACTGTACAAGTTCTGTGAAGTTTGTTATTCAGAATAAAAACTGTACAAACGTTGAATTTTGAGACGTGTAAGGAAGACGATGGGTGTTGGTGTGAACGGGCTAACCAGTGGTCTGTTGTCACAGGTGCGTCTGCTCATGGTCAGTCGAATGGCCAAACCAGAGGAAGTCCTGGTGGTAGAAAATGACCAGGGGGAGGTTGTCAGAGAGTTCATGAAGGACACGGACTCCATCAATCTTTACAAGAACATGAGAGAAACCCTCGGTATGAACACACGAGTCCTCATGGACAGACTTATTGTTGTGATGGATGCAGCAGCCTGTCTGTTTTATGGTCAACTGAAGAGTCTCAGGTGGATTAATGAGATTAAAGATTAATGTCTCTGTTGGATTATTACAAAGTTCTACTTTAGTTTTACAGTGGATGCAGCTAAACTGAACTTTTCCTTCCTCTTAGAGTAGAAGTGTTTTCTGTGAAATACTGGATTAGGCTGTAGTTCTTGTTTATATCATCATCTGGTGACCAGTTTTCAGGATGGCCACTGGACACCCTGAAAACTGTCCTTCTGTCTACCCCTGAGGGAAAACCATTGGTAGTAATAATATTTGTACTTTTGCTCCTGTTTTATTTGTGTTCTTGAGTTTTTAATTGAACTGTTTGTGATGAGACAGTCGACAGGCTGATTGAATGACTCTGTCTCATTCTGCAGTGTACCTGACCCATTTGGACTATGCAGACACAGAACGCATCATGACAGAGAAGCTTCACAACCAGGTCAACGGTACCGAATGGTCCTGGAAGAACCTGAATACACTGTGCTGGGCCATAGGCTCCATCAGTGGGGCCATGCATGAGGAGGATGAGAAGAGGTTCCTTGTTACTGTCATTAAGGTATCATCTAAAGTTCTCCAGGATTTCAGTGGAAGTTTGAACAGAAATAATAAAACCACATGTAGAGTGTTGTAAATATACTGACTGTAAGCTGTAGAGATGTTGGAGCTGCCTGATTAATGCTGTTTCTTTGCAGGACCTCCTGGGTCTGTGTGAGCAGAAACGAGGAAAGGACAACAAGGCCATCATTGCCTCAAACATCATGTACATCGTTGGCCAGTATCCACGCTTCCTCCGAGCCCACTGGAAGTTTCTCAAAACTGTCGTCAACAAACTCTTTGAGTTTATGCACGGTAAACACTTTATATTTTATCATTCACATGTTTGTTTGTTTGTCTCATTCCCATTTCTTCACATTTCACAAAATTAGAGATGAGTTCAAACACTCCTCAATAAATTCCACATTTACAAAAAATAATTTCTCAGTTTGTCCAAAATAATTAATATCTAAAGGAGGAATTAGCATAAAAACTTAATTTGTTTTTAATTCTTTGTTCTTAAATTCAGCTATTTAGTGAATTCCACCCTAAACAGTGATGTTGACAGGAAATGATTTAGAAAAATGACCATGCCCTCTTTTTAAGAAATTTAAAATGGGTTGTGTTGTGGCTGGGTGATATGGCCTAAAATCAATCTCACCGTATATTCACCAGTTCACCTCCAACAATAAATGCAAGTACAAGTACACAGTATAGTATAGTCATAACACTATAATACACTGTGCCCATGTTCTTAGTCAGAGTTCACAGTTTAGATTTTCAACAGCTTTTCTGTAGTTTATATTTGTCATTTTAGTGTCTTTAATATGTTAAATAAAAACTTTTTTGTCAAGACTTGAGTCAGATATAGTCACATAAATATAATAAGCAGAGACTCATCTTTTCTATAAAATGTGACAAAGAAATGTTGATCTGTTAGAGTTAATATTGTTTCATTAGAAGAGCTGAAACAGTGGTTCAGCCTGTGTGCTCCTCACTCCTGTAACAACGCTGAGGAGAAACTTATAATCTGTTAGATTTTAAACTTATAATCTGTTAGATTTTAAACTTATAATCTGTTAGATTTTAAACTTATAATCTGTTAGATTTTAAACTTATAATCT